ACCGTGAAGGTCAGTGCGAGTGTGCGATGATGAATTTTTGCATAGTTGGGTACTACTATTTGCATAGCCAATTACACAATGATGGACACTTTTATTCAACTAGAGAGGAAAGAATGGCTCCAATGTTTGTCTTGGTCTTTTTATTGTTGCTACTTCATTTAGAATTACATGCTCTATGCTCAGTACAATATTTTTCCTTGGTTAATCTAGAAAAGTATCCTTCCAAATTTTCGAACTGTAAAACATACAAGGATTCATTAATTCGTTTGCAGGTATATTATAAAAATCACCTTTTTTTCATAGCCGAGTATTCTAAATGGCCAAATGGGTATTTCATATGCATGGATAAATGAATTGTTAACAAAAAAAAAGAAAAAAAAAAGAAGTTGATTTCGATTGTTATGAAAACAAAACTAAATTAGTTTTTTTTTTTTTTTTTTTTTTTTGAGAACCAACAGGGAATATTATTAAAGAAGATTAATTCCCGCTAAAGTTAATAGACTTTGAGGAAAAGGACCGAGACAAACAAATTCATCACAATTTCTAGTATCCCACCTAGCTACCATATGAGCTAAGGTGTTCCTCGCCCGATTAACATGACAACGGCAAAAAAAAATCAAAATCCGAAGAACTAGCTACAATATCATCAATTAAAAGAAAAAGGATTAATACCGTTTTTTAATCCCAACTTTTACCAATTTAGTTTCATTAATTTCAACTTTGGATTGTTCCTCAATAATCCCAACTTTAAGGTGATCTATCTTTCTTCAATCCCAAAAACCGGTTACCGGTTGAATGGGTTAATTTTTTATTTTTTTTGTTAAAGTGACATGTGTCGCAAATTTATTGGTTAAAAAAAAAAAATAAAACCAAAAAAAAAAATTAAGAGAAAAAAAAAATCAAAGCCCCTAGCCCCTCTTTTACGGCCTAAATGACCACCCTGCGCCGCTGTCTACAGCCCACCCCTTCCCCTTCCCATCCCCACCTCTCCTTCCCCGGCAACCTAACCCACCATCACCACCGCCATACTCGCCATAATACCCACCACCTACAAACCCACGAAATCCCACAAAATCCACCATCACCACCGCCGTAATCGCCATAAAACCAACAACATCCCACAAATTAGTGGCTGGTGTTGGTCGCGGTTATTAAGGGGGCTCTGCGGTGTAGTGTTAGTGACAATTGGTGTCGATGTTGTTGTAATTGGTTGTAGTGTGAGAGAGATGCGAGGGAGCAGTGGTTAAGTAAGGGAGATGCGGTTGTCGGGGTAGAGTGAGGGAGATGCGGCGCTGCTGGTTGCGAGGGAGACTCGGGGTTTGTGAGTGTTGTTACTGTTGTGGTTAGTGGGTCTGGTGGCGAGGGTTTGTGGTGGTTGGTGTTTTGGGTGGTGGCGAGGGTTTCGCGGTGTTCTGGGAGTTTAAGGGTGGCACTGGGGTGCGAATTGCTGCGATTTGTAGGGCTGTGTGGGTGGCGACTGATTGGTGGTGGAGAGTTGCGATGTTTGGTGATTTCGGAGGTGCAAATGGAGTGGGCGGTGGTAGTGGAGGTTAGGGTGGGATTAATTAGATGGTGGTTTCCGGTGGGGGCTAAGGAGGAGGCGGTGGGGTTGCGGTGGGATGGAGGTGGCTGGCTGGTTTTTGTGATTTTTGGTTTCTTTTTGTTTTTTATTTTATTTTTTTTTTTAATTTTTGGACCAATCAGGACTTGACATGTGTCAAGTGACCTAGTACAACAGGTTAAGAAACCGGTTGGGTACGAGGAATGATAGGCCATATCAAAGTTGGGATTATTGAGGAGTAATCCAAAGTTGCGATTAATAAAAATAAATTGGTCAAAGTTGGGATTAAAAAATGGTATTAATCCAAAGAAAAAAATGAGGAGAACCCAACAGCCTTTTGTTTAACGCCCAAGACCACCTTCAAAGCATCACTTTCAACTTCCACCTTCGAGTAGCCCAGCCTCTTTGCAATACTTAAACCAAACACCATTGCAGCAGCTTCTACCTCATCAACAGACCATTTTGCCCTTCCCCTTCTAACTGCAGCAGCAAGAATGCTTCCTTGGTCATCTCTGAGCACCACACCTATCTGAAACTCGTTGCCCACCCTTGCATCACAATTTATTTTTGTAACACCCGAGGTTGGGCAATGCCATGACTTATTCCTAGATGGAGCAGCATGAACCACCTGAGGTAGACTTTAACAGCATAAGTGTTGTAATCTTGGACCAGCTTTGACATCCCAATAGCTACTGCAACAGGATCAAAAGGCTCGTTGTCAAATGTTGCCTTGTTTCTGCAGTGCCACACTGCCCAGCAAAGAGAGGTCATAACAGTCAGCTCATCCTTCGAGACCCTATCACACAACCACAGTTGCCTTGCAGTGAAACTCTCACTTGGGGCTTGGTCAAGTAAATTCGTGAAATTGCTTGTTGCCCATATATCTTTAGCAGCAGAACACTCAAAGATAGCGTGGATAATAGACTCATCGCCATTACCACAAATTGAACAACTTTTATCATCAAGCAAATGGCGATAGACAAGTCTTTCTCGGACTGCAAGGAAGCCCTTGCAAGCTCTCCAAAAGAAATGTCGGAGCTTAGGCGGGGTATTCAAATTCCAGATTATCTTCCACACCTTATCCCACGTATCTCCATTGTCAAAATATCCACCATTTTTGCTGAGCCAATACCCAAAGCAAACACTATACTCTCCATTTTTACTCGGCCACCAGAACATAGTATCACTCGGACATCTATGTGACAGGGGAATTAACAAAACAAGTGCACATTCTTCAGTAATAAAGGTGTCGTTCACTGCTTCAATATTCCAGGAATTACAAGAGTGGTCAATCAAATCAATAACTCTTAGTTCCATATCACTGTCCACCGACGGAGTTGGAACCAGAGATGAAGTATTGCCCGGTAACCAAGCATCACTCCACACGTTAATTGCACTCCCACTACCTAATCTCCATTTCAAGCAACAAAGATTTAGCGCCCCACATACTTCGCCAAGCATAACTAGGATCAGAATCCACATTTGCTTCCAAAACATCACAGCTCTTAAAATACTTCGCTTTAAGAACTGAGTGCAACAGAGACCCCGTATTATGGTGAAGGCGCCAGAATTGTTTAGCGAGCAACACTTGATAGAAGCAACGGAGGTCACTGAATCCCATTCCCCCTTTACCCTTAGGTTGACATAGGAGGTCCCATCTTTGCCAATGCATCTTCCTAGTGGTGTCATTCGAACCCCACCAAAAATTTGCAAAAAGAGAGTGAAAATCATCGATCAGAGTGTCAAGGATTTTGAATATACCCATCATATACGTTGGAATTGACTGAGCCACAACTCTGATAAGTATCTCCTTCCCTGGTTTAAAAAGCAATTTATCCTTCCACCCTTGGAGTTTCTTCCATAACCTTTCTTTCAGCCCTGCAAAAATCACCTTTTTAGATCTGCGAATGATAGTAGGAAGGCCCAAGTATTTTTCATGTTTTTCCACCTCCTGAACTCCTAAAATCTCAATAATTTCCTCCCTCCGAACAGTATTAACTTTTTTGCTAAAAGTGACCTCGGTCTTGCTTAGGTTAACTTTCTGACCTGATGCCCTCTCATACTTGCTGATAATGTTAGCTATATAACGGAACATTGTTGCACATTCGCTCTAGCAAAAAGAATACTGTTATCGGCAAAAAATAAATGTGAGCTCTGGCCCCCCCTACATATCCTACTACCATGAATGAGGTTATTTGTAGCAGCTTTGTTCAATAAATTTGAAAAAGCATCTGCGCAGAGTAGGAATAAGTACGGAGATATTGGGTCACCTTGTCTCAACCCTCTAAACGGAGTGACAGAACCCAAAATGTGGCCATTAATTTTAAAAGAAAAATTGACTTTTATAATATTCAAATACATATAATTTGTGTAAATCGTTAGTATTAAACAAATATATTATTTTTTTACTATAAAAGTCAAAATTTAGCAAATAAAAATACAAAGTACAAAGTAGTACAAATTTTGAGCCTTGTTTGGTTGGATGTAGGAAGTAGAAATTCCCAAAAAATCTCAATTTCTATAAAATTGTATTTCTTAGGAATTCCCAAAAATTGTTTGATTGGATGTAGGAATTTCCACTTTTCATAGGAAGTTCCATTTACCTAGGGGGGGGGGGGGACCGGGGACTAGGTAAGTTAATTCCTCCATTTTGTGGGAAGTAGAACTTCCTAGGAGATCCCAATTCCTACATTATTATCAACCAAACAAGTATGCATATATTCATTTCCTTTGGAAATCAAACTTCTCATGAATTTGTTTGTCAACCAAACAAAGCCTTGAAAAGGAGGGCTAGAGGGGAATTGTTGGAGTATTTTGTTGGGGTTTAATAGAAAATTTTGTATATCACAACCAAGTGGTTTTGGTATCAAATCTCACTGTAAGCACTTCGGAATGGAGATTCCTTTACCCTTCACTACTCTCAAAGCAGTGGCGGATCTTGGCCGAAAATATTAGAGGGGCCGCAATTTAAATATTTAACCTCTTGCTCAAAACTATACTATATCCCAATATTTTATAAGTAAATATAGGTTATTTTAGTTCGTTAACTAATTAATTGCAATAATTTACGGAGGGCCGGGTCCCGAATGGCCCCGATGAAAGGTCCTCTCTATCCCAAAGTATCTAACCCGCTATCTCAAGCCGGAAAGACTTGTGAGAAGTTTCGACCGTTATAGCTCTTCACCTTACCAACCAATAAAACTAGGAGTGAAAGTAATATGGAATAAATCCGCAAACCGAACCGAATTAATAATTTGGATTGGATTTATTTACAATTCGGTTTGGTTCGGTTTGAGATTTTAAAAAAATTTGGATTGCGGATTGGTTTCGGTTTTGGGCTTAAAGAAACCAAAAACCGAAATTTAAAACTGAATTATTGCTCATAATCTTAAAAGCCCAATTCCGCAGCCCACTTTCCCCTTTATGTATAAACCTCTAAAAAAATCCCTAAATCTCTCTTCCCTTTCTCACGGCAAACCTAATCCCTAATTCTCAGTCAATCGCCGACCACCGCTCCTCCTCTAAGCACCGACCAGGCGACTAATGTTTAATTCCTTCGCTCTACCCTCACCAGCCTTTGCTTCTCCGCTACACGCTAACTGGCCTCCGCTCCATCATCACCGACCATGAAGAATCAATCGGAGTTGCGCTTCCCCTTCTACCCATTTCTCTTTCATCTTTCTTCTATGTATTTTTGGCAAATTGGTCTCCAAAGTAGTTTTTGTTGGCTAGAATTACTATTTAGTTGCGGTCTCTTGTCCAATAGCAAATAATTATGCATTTCTAGACTACTCCAATGCATAGTTATTTGTTAAATTAAATTCAAATTTTATTCTCGCAAATAATTAGTAATTTTTAATTGAATTTTCTGGGTATTGTCGATTTTTGGGTCTTGTTAACTTATTATTTGTTAAATTGTACAATCTTTAATTAAAAATTGCAAATCTACCGAAATTAAGCTAAAAAAATTCTGTTTATGGATTGGATTCGGTTTCTATATTAATAATTCGGTTCGGTTTGGATTGGACTGAATCCGTATTCGATTTGAATTTGGATTAAAAAATCAAAGACCGAATTTTTTCGATTGGATTCAGTTTGGACCATAATCCAAACCGAAAATCAAACTTTCACCCCTAAATAAAACAAAAAATAATACACGTAGGCATTTCGTGTTGAAATTACAAGTTCAGTGGATCCTTCTTGTTATTATGAGTAAATAAAATTAAAAAAAAAAAAATTAAATTGAAAAGCAGAAAAAGCTAACCGCTTGAAAATAAAAGAAAGATCACAAGGGAAAGATAGATCAAAGACAGAACGAGACATTTGAGTAAGAAGAAATATTCAATCTCAAGATGAAAGAGGATTACGAGGTTCAGTACTCAATCTTTCACTTTCCTTTTTATTTATGAATTTTTCGTTTCTGTAATTCAACTTAATCGCAATTATAATTAATTTAATAGTTCTTCTGAAACTGTTTTCAAAATCAAAACCCTAACTCTGCTCTGTAATCAATCTAGTCACTCTCATAATTCATTTTGTGAGCTAAATTATTTATTCACTTGTTTAATTGCAATTGTTTTCGTAATAATCGAATTTATTTCAATTTCAATTTTTTATTTTTGGGTAATTTGCAGACTGAAGAGAGAAAACAAGCTGCTGCAGATGTTTTGTTCAATTACTCCAAATTTGTGGCGGCCTGTATTGGTAATCGTGTTCGTCCCGGTGATTTGAGAATGCATCTTATGAAGGTAATCTATCAGATGATTAATCTATGTTTTGTTGTTTTTATTCCGTATTTTTGTATAAAGGGTGCCAAAAAGAGCAATGACGTAGTCGGGTTGATTTATCCTGACTGCGCCTTCTACGACTTTAACCAACTAAGCTAATTGACATCTATGTTGATTTCATTATTGCTTGCATATTTGTGTGTTTATTTTAATAGTCTATTAGATGTAAATTTGTATGCCATGAATTTTGTAGTATGAGGTATGACTCATTGGAGAGATAGATTATCATTCTTATCAACCATAAACGAAATCACTGGGAAAAAAGGGTTACCGGTACTTGTAGCTAATGCATTATCTTTATTTCAGGGGAAGTAAAGTAATTCTTGGCTTCAAGACAGATATTCTAATGTAAGACTATTTCGAGATTCATTTTTGTTCCGATTTCATTTCAAATCGAGCATATTGTGAGATAATTGGGGAAAGGTTGTTGCTATGCCATTTATATTTTGATTCTAAACAAAAAAGTATGCAATGTTGTCAAGTCCTGTTGAAGATGATATTGAACTAAATCACTTGAACTCGACTGCTAGTGTTAATAATGGGTGTTTGTTATCTGTCTTTATGAAAATTTTCTTTTTTTTGGTCTAAATGGAGTGTCAAGCTTCCATGCCCTTGTTTGAGTTTTGAGTGCTTGACAATGGAATTTAGATTAAATGAAGAGTTTGAGTAATATAGAAATTGGGTTCAAAGACATTTAGCAGATTTGTTGTCGTGATGTATCTTTTTGGTCCAAAAGGAATGTCAAGCTATACATGCCCTAGTTGGAGTTTTAAGTGATTGGCACTGCTATATAGGTTATGTGAAGAGTTTGAGCAATTTAGAAATTGTATTTGAAGACATCACAAAACTGACGTTCAATTCAAGTTGATACTCTATTCTTATTGAAACTGACTTATATTTACAAGAACTATTTGTTTTGCAGTGTTTTTTTTTTTAATACCAAATCCTAGTTTCCTTTTGTGGAATCATGCTTCTCTATGAAATGTCTTAATGATGTCAATGACAAGGATACATTTAGTGAAACTGTTGTTGATATGGAGGTGTTTAAGGAAGCAGTTTATATTATGAAGCGTTTATAAGCAAGGAAGCATGCCTGCCAACTTTGTGCAAATTAATTGACTTGCTGAAACGCCTGAAAGTGCTTGCTGAGTGGTTGTGAGCACTATTGAACTTAGATTTTAATAAAATTTTAGAAGTAGATTTATCTTATCACGGAACACGTGTAATTTTTCAAGTTTCTACTCTCCAGGAGATATCTGGAATACCAACATCTCTGAAGCGGGAGTCATTTCCAGTAACAGCTTCTCCTGATGCAATGGGGGAATCATCAAGTTCTGGTACAGCTAGACTCGATAAATCAGATAGCTTTCGTGCGCTATAAATCATGGGGCTGAAAGATATGGACCTATACGTGCACTAGGAACTGGTCATTGGTACATGCTATCTTTTGGTTTTGATTTCTTAGAGAAGACGGGGATATGTTTACATTTGATATGATTGTATCTCTGTCACAGGGCAGAAACATTATACTAGTATTATAGTTGTGATCTATGTGAAGTTTTTGTTGTTCTTGTACATGTCTACTATGAGGCTCGTGAATGTTGTGTCCAAATCTTGAAACTCTAGCTTTACAGAACTCGGGACAAAATACGTAATTAGTAAATGTACTTTTTTTTACCACCAAATCAAGTATTTTGTGAAATTTCATCCCTCTGAATTAAGCTGTCTCACTTTGTCACTGAATTTATACTTATTTTTTTTTTGAAGGAACGCTATGAATTTATACTTAATCATCATTGATATAATTAAGTCTGAATAACTGAATATCATACTAGTAGAGTATATACCATTTGTACTTTCTTCTTTTAATTCAAACTTGTAACGGAATTTTTCATACTTTGTTGCCCTAGAGTTGACATAATTTCACTTTGGTGCCTTGTTGTTTCACTATGTTTATTTTGATTTAACGTGTCAATCACTTAATAACACTAAAAACAGTAAAAGTATATCACGTAGTTGACTAGTTGTACTAGTGTATGATAAAGCTTAATTAAGTTTCGTCAAAGAAAAAGGACTATTTTTGTTAAAAGTAGTTCATTATATTGTGTTTAAATAATTAACGAATTCCATTAAAAAAAAAATACTCTCTGAGTCTTTTATTTACATGCATATTTTTCTTTTTGGGGGTTTCAAAATTACATGTCTATTTCTATTTAAAAAATGTATTTTTTGACAATATTTCCTTTTTTGATAAGTTGTCAAATTATTTTTTTTATTTTTTTTTTGTGTGTGTACTTTTGACATCATTTTAACACTTTCTCTCTCCATCTCTTCAATAATTACCAACTATATTTTCTTTCTCTCTATCTCTCTCTAACCCCACATGCATATTTGTACTTTCCAATTGTGATTTTTAAGTTCCTTAATTCCCATGTAAAATGAAAAGAAGGCATGTAAATAAGGGACGGAGGAGTAATAGCTAACGAACAAATTATGTTGAATGTTAAGACCGACAAGAGTCACAACTCACAAGACCACCCAGTTTTTTTTACTACATATGTTAGATTTGTGGAAATGATCTTATGTTGCACTATAAAAAATTTTACTTACACCCCCATGTAGGTAGCACTCTTTGCACCCCTTCTCATCATAATGACGTCATTTTATAATTTTTCGGTTTTGAATCACATTTAAAATGTTCAATTTTATATACGTAAATGTTTAATTTTATATCATTAAATATTCAATTTTGGTAATACGACGTGCTATACTCAAATTAGTATATGTTTTCCATTTTTATTTTTACACAGATTTTCTTATTTATTGGTCCTATTATTTTGTTAAATAATAGGCTTTGTTTGAAAAAATATCACTCAATATAGAATTTAAAATAATTACAATTAAATATCATTTTAAATTAATACATACTCATTGTTTCTTAAGCATAAAAGGGAACTATTTTACTTTTCAAATGTACATATGCTTAATTTTAAGAATAAAATTAAAAACAATTAAAAAAGTGCAAATCTTAAATTCAAAAATGTACGTATCAATATATCATATATGTGCCTTACAAAGTGAATTATTGGCTTGGCTCAGCCTCCTTTGAATAAAAAAAAAAAAATAAAAAAAAAATTGAATACATTTGGTATAAATAAAAAGTACATAGAATTATCGTCCTTGTGTATATAGTTGTACCCCCTTTTACTCTTATAATGTTTGTGCGTTTTCCTTGATACATATATTTTTCTCAATATACACTTAATCGTCTTCAACTTTTTTTTTTTATTTTTTTTTTATTGTCATGTGTAATAAGAGATCAAATTATTTTAAAGTAAAATGTAAGTATCAATCAAAATACACTATGAACAAAGCAGGATAATTAAATAAACATTTATAAAAACAAATTTGAACACATCACCATAAAATGAACATAGTTCAATATGAGAATGGACAAGTATTAATATCTAATGAACATCTTTCAACATACAAAATGAACATATACTAAAAGTCAAAAGAACATTTCAATACGAGAATGAACAAATATAAAATTTAAATTGAGCTTTTTTTAATATAATAACAAACAAGTATTAAAATTTGAAACAAATATCTTTTAATATGAGAACAAGTATAAAACTAAATTAATATATTTAGATATAAAAATAAATATTGTATTAGATTGCAAATGAACATCTTTCAATATGAGAATGAACATATAAAGCAAAGAAATGAATGAACATGTAACAAATTTAAATGAACATATATATATATTATTATGATAACGATTATAAATGAACATGAATTCCATCTAAAATGATTTTTTTTCCATCTAAAACGAACACTTACGATAGATTAAAATTTACTATTCAATTTTCGTCAAATAACACTTTTTAGTAACAAATTAAGTAATATAAATTGATGATTGATGCTTCACTTTCATAAATCAAATTGATAATTTGTCTTTAATTTTAATTATTATAATTTGAATATTTGTTGGCAATTATAACTTCAATATTTAATCTTCTACAAATGAACATAAGGTCTATCTAAAATGAACATTTACGATAGATTAAATGTACTAGCTAGTTGAAATTCTCCGAATAATAGTTTTTATTAAATTACGTTATAATTATGGAAAAATGTTGTAACATAATTCAATTAACATTAATTATAAGAATCACTTCCATTAAAAACTATGAGTTTTCACAAACTCTAATTGAAATTTCTTACTAGATATGTGAAGAATTCTAATGATTAACTATTAATTTGTGAATGACCATATACTAATATATAAATGAACATTTACCAAAATAAAAATGAACATTCATAAAAAAATAATTTTTCACTCCGAACTAAATTTACATTTCTATAATCCTACGAAGTAGATCATTTGTCCATAAAATTAGGCAATTACACTCTATTTTTATTTTGTCAAGTAATTTTATAAGCTAATTTAATAACACACACCACAAGTTAATTCCACTTAAAATAAAGTGTACCAAACATCGTTGTACCATAATCTATCACAAGAAATTATTATTATGATAAAAATTATAAGAAATCATGAACTACTACCGCTGAAATTTCATATTATTGAAGAATTAGGCAAATAAAAAGTTATTGTTTGAACTTTTTTTGAGTTAAGTATAACAATGGGGACTAAATTTTTAGTTTTTTCACCTTTTGAAACCTCACTCATTTTTTTTTCACCTTTTAAGACCTCTAGTTAACAATCCGGCAAACTAATTCTTGTTTAACTCACTGGAGCAAAAATAATCCCTTCATTGAATTTCAAAAAAAATAAAAATATAGTCCCTTCATTGAATAAATGTCAATTCCAAGACCATAGGTCCTTCAAATTCCTAAAAAATAACTGAAGGAAATTTAAGTACAATTTTTTAAACTGTTATTTATCCAAAAACTGAAGGATCTTTTATTTTTATTTTGTATACCGTATTAATTTATTAAAAATAAAATTACCAAGAAATATGGGGCCAGAGTGTATTTGCTTGGTAATTGAAAATAAATGCCGACAACAGGCAGACGGCTCGATGATTAAGTATCGTTGTCGTATCAAATTTATTATATAATTTAAGAGTCAGTTTAACGAGAATGCTCAAAATCCCTATTTCTCCAACTTAAATCCTATCAAATATAAATTTAATAAAAATGAAATACGTTTATAAATTAATTTTTAACCCAAGCTAGTATGAAAAAAAAAAAAAATTTATTAAGCAAATTTTTATTTTTGGTTAAACGTTTATAAATTTATTTTTAACCAAAGCTTATTTAAAAAATCAACCCAATTAATTTTTTAGAACCTCTTCACATCCACTGCATATCACTCTTGTAATAAGGGATAGAAAGATAATTACCATATTGAATGGTACATACATGCATAATAAACTTGGTGAGCAAGGCTTTCAATTAGTCATTTCTCGCTAATTACTGCTCTAAAAAATTATTAACGCTCAAAACATGGTGCATGCGAGAGAGATTTTCAAACAATTTTGAGTTTTCTGTTTTTTTTTTTTTTTGTTATTATTTGGAGGAAATTATTTTGTGCAAGTAATATAAATTATTAATACTCTAAATAAATTTGAGTATTTATTTTTAGCCTTAGTTTTTACAGATATTGATAGATCTATTATTCTATAATATTTGTGGTATTTTTAGCCTCACTTTTAGGGGGACTATCTTTTTTTATCATTTTAGGTTGGCTTTATAGGGGACTATCTTTTTTCTATATAAGAGACTATCTTTTAAGGTTGACTTTATAGAGGACTATCTTTTTTAACCAGGGGACTATTTTTTTAACTCACCCACAATTAATATTTAGCCGGAAAAGTCACTTGAGGTCCCAAAAGGTGAAAAAATAAAAGTGAGGTCCCAAAAGGTGAAAAAAGTAAAAAGATAGTCTCCATCTTTATACTTACTCACTTTTTTTCAAAAAATAAACAAAATCAACTTACAATTTGATTGTTAGTCATTCTTTTGTAGAAATTTTCTTCGATTTCGTCTCTTAAATCTAATGTTTTAGTATAGACCTAAGAGAATTCTGATTTTTTTTCAAGACAAGTTTGGAAGATGTTGGTAGTTTAGGAGAGAGAAACTGGTAAAATTATGAGGAGAGAGAACTTTTAAATGTTGGTAAAATTATAAGGGAAATTGATTTTTATTAATCAAGTTGTATAGTACACGTGGGGATCGAGGGGGTGTAGGTATTAATACCTACATTAGGTTGTAGTTATTAATAATTAGCATGTTAGCCTGTGACAGTGTTACTCCATTACGGGCCTTAAATTAGGGCATAGTAACATGGTAATTGGTTATCAAATTATCTCTCTTCCACTTTCACCCATTACCAATCCTCCAAGCCCGCTTATGACTAGACCTAGTTATTGGGCGGGTCGAGTTAGGGTCGGGTCAAAGGTCATATTTTCAATAAAAGGTCGGGTCAGTGTGGGTTGTGGATCGATAATGACCGGGCCAACAAACTATCCATTAAAATATATATTATTGGACAAAGTCATAATTAAGTACATATAAATACGAATATATTTATGTAATTTTTTTTACATTATTTTTACTATGAATTAAATTGAACGAAAATTTTAACCCTATATTGCCTCTATATATTCGATCATAAGAGTCATGCATGTCCATTAAAAACTTGATTTGACGATGTGTCAATAATGACCCTCAAAAATTTTCAAACTTGACCTTGACCCTGTTATCATTGGGCTACCATGTCCAATAACCAGGTCTACTTATTACTTTGTATTCTTAATGGTTACTCTCAGTCTTAACACTATCTATCTTTCCTATTTATTTTTTTTTGTTGTGCTATAATAAAAAAAATAAAAATATTAGCCTCATTTAAAAGATTTATATCAATTCCATATATAAGTAGTTACTCCGAATTATTCTTGGTTTTATGTTGGAAATTTCAACATTAACCCAAGTCGGTTTGATTAACCGTGTCATGTCATAATGACCCGTTTAGTAAAAAAGATCGTAAACCCTAGCTTGACACTAATCATATTATTTTCATGACATGTTTTGGTGTACGTATGTATCAGTTTTTGACAAATTTATATAATTCCTTGAATAAAAATCAAACTATGTTAATATGGCAATTTTTATTTTTATAATAATTTATTATTTAATTCATTTAAGATCATATTTGATATTATGTGCAGTAGGTTACAGAAAATGAAGAATTTTTTTTAACCATATATAAGTTTTTAGGGAAAAAGATAAACAGAGGACAGTATATATAAAAATTAGGGTTTTTCACCCTAACAAAATGGCAAATCTAACAAGCATGGAAAATCTATCATTATTAATTAAAAAAAAAAAAAAGGCACAAGCATTGAAGATCTTGTTGACGAGTTATTGATCGAAATATTTATTCGACTTCCGTGGTGTGAAAGTGTAATCACAGCGAAATTTGTATCGAAACATTGGTTATCTTTACTATCGAACCCTAAATTTGGGATGAAATTCCTTAATCACAAGAAACATCTTTCTTTTCCTTTGAAGAAACCTCCATGGACGTTTTTGTCGATGCGACTAGTAAACAATGAAGGGATAATTCGGACAAAGTCCCCGTTTCACAAGGTATTCAACTCTCCGAAATTCCTCTTGACTTTTCTTCCTTTTGAAGCTAAACTTGTTGCTGCATTCAAAGACTTAATCTTATGCATTAATTCTAATAGAAATGAAAAGATAGTCATCACCAGTTTTACACTTGTAATCCATTAACAAAACAATGGGTTGCTCTTCCCCCGAATCGGGTGTCGTTGTATAAGACATTAGACATCATGGGCTAGTTTAGTGTGTGAGGATCCTTACTATAATGACATCGAAAGACGTTTCGATTATAGGTTCAGGGTTATTGTAGTTCCTTTGATCCTTCTTTGACTCTGAAGCTGACTGTTTTTTGCTCAGATAATTGTAAATGGATTGATATTGATCTTACGGTTTGGCGGCGAACCCCTAACTCTAACCCTAACCGCCGCATCATCGGATGTAATGGGTATGGTTTGTGTTACCTATAATAATGTATATTTCCTACTTCAAGCCGAGTTGTTGACGCCAGAACTCTACCATTACTTTATAGAGGATACCAAGGATACCTCCTTGAATGTGGAGGGAGATTGATTTCACTGGATCATCCCATATTTGCGGCGTTTCCTACCCTTGTTCATTGTAAGGGCTGCTTTGTATAGGTGAAGGGCGATTTTATACAAATGACAAATAATGAACTCATCGATAGTAATAATAATAATGAGTTATGTTGGAAGACCTATAAAGTTGTTAGCTGATCAAGTGATTATATTAATGAATTTGATTTCAATATGCAGGGACTACCAATTTGGAATGAAAGAGCAGACAAATGGATTATCTACAATAGCTACGTAGTTAGAACAACCTTTGTTTATTCAATTATTATCATTTTGATTCAAACTTCTATGTTGTTCATTCAATTATTACTTGTTTGTGCTAATAGAATAAAATATAGTATAAGTTTCAAATTATTATTTTTTTAATTAAACAAAAACCCCAAATTATAAATTCTATATTGTGGATTTAAAGTATATTCGCCAAGGAAGTGGTATCATGATTAATTAGTATTGAAATTGACTAATTTATTATGTTAAAAAGTAGATTTATTACTACTCTGTATTTAATATTGCTACAATTTACATGTTGTACTACCTTCGCATTTTTTTAAATGCATCACTTGCATTGACGCAGAGTTTTGGCCTGAGAAAGTCATTTTACTCCGTATTATATTATACAAGTAGGGTAAGTAGATGATTAATTTATTTTGATAAAAATATAATGTGGACCATGAAAGAAACAAAATGATTTCTTTAATCATACAGTATAAGTTTAGACGTTTAGTCCTTTGTCAAAATCTTAAACCCAAATCGAGCATTTTCATTTTTCATTCCCATTAGGAAGATTGATGGGCTGATTCAAGCCCAATCACCTGAACATGTATACCACCGTATATCTGAGTCTGTAACGGACTAACGGCTACTTGAACAATCAATTAAATAATAAAAATAAAAAAAAGAAATAAACATAGTACCGTTGCCCAACGGTAGAATTTCAAACCAAATATCTACCTTGCCCTTTCCTCTCTTCATCTCCGCTCCCCTCCCTTCTGCCTCCTCCTCAACTTTCTCTCTCCTCTGCTTAAACTGCACTTGAGAGTCTGATTATCTGCATTTTTATCTAATCTCTCTTATTATTTAATTTAATCTAACTTAACTTAATCTTCATTACTAAAAACTCATATCTTGCTTCAAAATAAAAATTAATTAAAAAAATGCAAGAAATGTGGAATGGTCCTCCTGGGTTTAGGCCATCAAAATCAGCTTCAGCACCATGCTCTCCAGCGAAGCCACTTTCGATGCCTCGAACCCGGTCCGAGTCATTCCACATTACCCATAAAGTTCCTGTTGGTGATACTCCTTATGTTAGAGCCAAACATGTTCAGGTTTGTGTATAATTCAGTACTTGTTTTTTATTTTTTATTTTTTATTTTTTTTGATGTATTGAATTTTGATTTGGGGGTTATTTCGATCAGTTGGTGGATAAAGATCCAGAGAAGGCAATTCCTCTATTTTGGGCTGCAATTAATGCTGGAGATAGAGTTGATAGTGCTCTTAAGGATATGGCTATTGTAATGAAACAGCAAAATCGGGCTGATGAAGCGATTGAGGCTATTAAATCGTTGCGAAGCCGGTGTTCGGAGCAGGCTCAGGAGTCTCTTGACAACATTCTCTTGGATCTCTATAAGGTAGTTTACTAGAATTTTGAAAATTGATTAAAAAACAAATTGGTGTAATCCTAAAATTTATTGGTAATTGACTGATTGTGGTGTTTGTTGTTGCAGAGATGTGGGAGATTGGATGATCAAATAGCTCTTTTGAAGCACAAATTGTATTTGATTCAACAAGGGTTAGCATTTAATGGGAAAAGGACTAAAACAGCGCGATCTCAAGGGAAAAAATTTCAGGTCTCAGTGGAGCAAGAGGCCACTCGTTTGCTGGTAAGAAATTAGTCCATAAAATTATTCAATTCTTCAATTGGTAATAAATTTATTAATGTTTAAATATACGACAAATTCTAGCATGATACGATCCCAGGTTACGAAAATTCACCCATCTATCCTACTTTAACCAAAACAGCGGTTACATTTTACCTTTTTACTTGTGCCAATGTAACATTAAGTCATTAATACGGCGTATGTCTAATTAAATGTTTGGAAATTTACCTCATATTACATTAAATAACTTCTACGTCCTACTTCATTTGAAACAATTGTTACATTAAACCTTTCTACATATGCCGATGTAACATTGGCACAGAGTTGTAATTATATGTTCAAAAACCATTATAATATTTATAATAAGGTCCCATATTATTATATGTATATAAATCACAAATGAGAAGTCAAAGTAGTGTTTGTGGAATGGTGACAAAAGTCAAAGTGTTGTTGTAAAAAAAAAAAAAAAAAGACAAAAGTCAGAGTGTAACAATTATTTTATAACTAACCGTCATACAATTATTATTTCAGGGAAACTTAGGATGGGCACTGATGCAGCAAAACAACTATGTAGAAGCAGAGGATGCATACAGAAGAGCATTATCTATTGCACCAGATAACAACAAGATGTGCAATTTAGGCATCTGCCTAATGAAACAGGGGAGAATCGTCGAGGCGAAACAGACTCTCCGGCGTGTGAAACCGGCAGTAGCAGACGGGCCGAGAGGGATGGACTCCCACCTCAAGGCTTATGAAAGGGCACAACAAATGCTGGCAGACTTAGAATCAGAGATGATGCAGAAAGCAGGGGACTCTGTTTCAGAACAGAGCAGGCTTTTCAATACTTTCTTGGGATCATCCTCACTTTGGCAGCCTCAACCTTGCAGAGAAACATATACCTGCCAACAAACCAGCAAAATCCCAGATGAATTTCCTGATGAAAACACCAATTCCAACATTTTATCAAACAATAATCAGAACTTCCCACCAAAACCAAATGGGTTTTTACCATTGGGAAATTCTTGGAATATTGATGCACCCCCGTTTTATTCCTCCAAATTGGGGGGAACCCAATTCAATGAGACCCTTAAGAGGACGAGATCCGGGAGTGCGGCGAGTTTCGGAAATGAGAATAACAATCCAGCACTAGAGAGACTGTTAAGATTAGTAGTAAGAATGGTAATCAAGAGAGGGAAAATAAGATATTGAGGAGGTCATTGGAGGAACCACTTAACAAAGTGGCTGATTTTTTGCCTGATGACAAAGATTTTGAGGATGCTATAATTTCTGCAGTTCTGAATACAATTGACACAGAAAATTCTGCTGCTGAAGTTAAGAAAATCTCACAGAAGTTTGAGGTGAAGAAGGCTGCTGCAGTTGACAGAAGGCTGAAAGTTTTTCAGGATATAACTTTGTCTTTGAGTCCTAGAGCTTAACAAAAAAATTTTAAAAAAAAAATTAAAAAAAAAAAAAAATTGAGTCTTGGATTGATTTAATTTAATTCACTCAATTTATGCTAATTTAATTAATTTAGTATAATAGGAGATGCACTTGTTCTCCTTTTTCTTGATCTTCTTACAATGTTTAACTTTCAGCCTGCTGTGCTGCATATTGGTAGTAGTTTTGGGGATTGAGAAATAGTCTTAATTGTTTAACTAAGGAATTATTTATATCACATGAAGATAATAAAGTTTTATTGTCATTTATCTCAATCTCATCTATTTGGCTTTTATAGCATTGAATAAGGAAAATTATCATTTGGCGAACCGTATATGCATTTTAGTTAGTTATGGTTTCTCTTTATTCCATACATAGTTAGAATGTAACGCTATTATAGTTGAATAAGAATAAAGTTATCCTTTAGCTAACCTTGAGGGTTTTCTCTTTATTCAGCACATATTTAGAATATAGCGCCGTAACAATTACGTATCTAAAGTTTTTGTTTACATTCGTGCATAATTTTGTTTCAGAAAAAAAAAAATGTAACGCATAATTGACATAATTGATGCAACATTTCGGATGAGATGGAATTCATTTCCTTTATTTCTTAAATTAGGGAACAGTAAAGAAATTCTCAGTTTTTATTTGGTACTATATATATGTATTTCAGCATTTGTATATTCTATTCATTCTTGTTTAATTCATACAAGATGATTACAGTAACAGAGACAATTACACCAAGTGCAGCCTTGGAAACAATCTTTCTCCAAGGCATGGGTGGATTGAACCCTAACTCTGAGAGCTTCTTGTGTGATTCTGCATAATCTCTAAAGAACGCGTCTTCATCCTGATATTTTAAACGATCTCATCAGTTAATTCAGCAGCTAATTTACAAGCTCAGAACTGTAAATACACTGTGTTGAAAGGCTGAAAGCGTAGATTACCTTAGCATAGAGCTCAACATAGCGTCGAAATCTAGGATCCTCTACAAGAGCCTTATCAGTAGGAAGTTTCAATAACCCTCGTCGTTCACCATTCAACAACTCCCTGATAATATTACTAGTATAAGCTGTTTGTTACATATAATGGATAAATGAAATTTATGAATCGAACTTACACATAATAGGAATTGTCGAATTTCATTGGGTCTTTAGTCCAAGGACCTTCGTAACCTGATGTTTCCTTATGCGCCTCACCCTAGATGTACCAGAGGCCAAAAATGAGCAAATCAGCAAAATACTAACCAGTTTGGTTTATAAAAAATCAGGTGAAGAGAACAAGGTCGTAACATTGTGCTAAGGTCTAACAGTCTACCAGTGTGTGGCCTCCTGATAGCGCGACAATATCCTTGTCAGTAAATCCCATTCTGTAAAATACTTCTCTCAAATGTGCAGCACCTGTAATCGAATCGATGCTCTAAGTAACATGTCCTTCATACTAACATGTTACCAGAAGATTACTCATATTACTGAAGAGATAGTTGTAGAATACATACCCAAATCTGCATTAGGAAGGCGTCCTTCCTCTGGAGATTCCGTGGAGTCCTGGTATTAACATCGATAATAAGTTGTCACCGTGATGCAATAATATTCAAGAAGTATATAACAGATAAAGTGTTCTTATAACATGTATGTATGTATGTATGTATGTATGTATGTATGTATGTATGTACTGTCTTACCACTCGTCCAGGAACAAAGTCGATGGTTGGACCGCCTGTGACTTCAACTGCAACAACTCCAGCAAGCTGAAAGAAACATGGGATGTTTGAGAGTAAGCTAAAACAGATTGCAGTGGCTTGATTTAGTTATGATAAAGAACATTGTTGAGCATCTAATACTAGTCTAACCAATGTAATAGGCTAAGAAGGTGAAATTAACCTAGGTACTTGTTTAATTATTAAAGTTGACATCTAAATTTGTTGACTTAATAGTAAAGGAAGGAATGCTTAGAGAAGTTCCTTTCTTCTAAATTAGGAAAACTCGTTACATACATTAATCACAAAAAGAGCAACTCATATATAGATACATATGTGTATGTTCGTAGTTAATTGTCATGTTGTCTCAACCCGGCTTCTGAATAGAGGGATCATTGTGACAGTAAAATAATAAATCTAACATTCCAAAATAGTATACGTGACTAATTATTCTACCTGATAAAGATCTGCATAAGTGATCTTTGGGTGTTTAGCCTTTATTTCTTCTGAAATGAATAATTAAAAAAAAAGTTGTTAGAGGAAGTTTAATTACTGTTGCAAGAAATTCTTATTCACATACACAAGAAATTAAACCAGTTTTAGGACTAATTATTTTAGCTCACCACAAAGAGCAACAGCTGTTTTGAGGCCACGGTTGGCTCTGTGCTCCATTTCATACTTGGTTCTGATTGAGCCATTCGGGCCTCCTGTTTTAGTCTTTGCATCATATGTACCTGCATCGTGCCATCTACGACACCAGCAGAAAACAAGAAAGACTTAAACATTGAATAAACAAAAAAGTTGTGTACATATAAGTGGAAAATATGAAGTTTTAAGACCTGAATCAACAAAATGGTTAATGAAGCAAGAGAGATTACGTACGCTAAGCGAAGCATACTAGGAGCACATTGGTTGGCAGAGATGAGAGCGCGGAAGTCTCTTCGAGCTCTCTCAATTTCCTTCAAATATTCGCCATCCACCAACTGTTTTTTTTTTCTCTTCCTAGCATATTGTAAAATTTTGAGAAAATGGAAGTGTAGTCTCGGACTAATGGTAATATATTGGCTATTAATTTATAACGAGCTTCGAATATGAAGAGTTCAATTCAAGTTAAAGTTGAGGGAATTAGCGAAGGCAAAGGATTGGATTAATTACTGGAACTGCTCAAGAAAGGGATTGCTTTAATGCTTTTGCTTGTATAGGAGGGCATAGTAAAAATTTGGAATGAGTTTATTCCCAAGCAAATACTTAAGATATATTTCAATGTTTGGGAGAATTGTTGTTTAATTGTAAGATTGCAAAAATAATTATTCGTATTAGTCATTTGTCCTTTACGTCTTTCTTTTGAACCTATGAAATGTTAAGAGATGTTGAATGCAGTCACCTTATTACGAAATGGCTTATGCAATTTAGTCATGGTTAAAGCATCCAAAATAATCCAAAAATAGATAGACAGATAGAAAATCATTAAATTACTAAGGCATAAAATGTCACCTAGTGATTACAAAACATGATATCAATAATAAAGCATGGCAACAAGCCGAGTTTTTCTTAGTACATGAGGTAGGGGACTGTACCAGTTTCGAGCAAGTGAACTCGTGCACGTACAATATTCCCCATTATTAGCACTCTTTATATTACATAATACTAGTACAATTACTAGGGAAAGTTTATGATCCCACATTTAATTTAAAATAACAACGTAGAGTATTAGACCACAGCCTACATCAACATCCACTACATATCAGTCTAGGCTGCCATTCATTCATGCATCTTCTACCTTTCAGGCTTTCTTAGAGTGGCAGCATGGGTGCCCTGGGTGAAACCCGAGCTCTGACATCTTCTTGTGTGAGTCCGCGTAGTGTGCAAAGAAGACCTTTTCATCCTACCAATTCCAAACAGAATGAATATTGATCAGTTCATAATTTGACAAAATAATTCAGAACTCAATTAGCTGCTGTCATCAGAGCCTTGCATAGTTCATTCTTTCGTCCTGCCTGATAATGTACGCAGAATATTCTCTATCATTGTCAAATTTTAGAAGTAGCTAGTATTCAGAGCCATATTACAGAGTAAAATAGTACTAAAACAGTATGTCTAGAAAGTGGTCGCGACAAAAATTGAATTTATAAATTAGTTTTATTAGTGAAGTGCTTCTTATCCTTGCTAAGAAATGGATATACTGTATTACCTTAGCATACAGTTGAACATATTTACGGAAATCAGGGTCCTCGGCAAGAACTTTGTCTGTAGGGAATTGCACCAGTCCAGGAGTTTCACCCTTCCTCAAGTTTCTGGTCACGAAAAGAAACTAAATCTAAGTAAACTTTGTTAAGACAATCTATAAATAAATACATATAAGGAAATTCTACATATTTACATGAATAAATATCTTATTAATGTAATAACTTCCATTGAAAATACAATGTAATCTTACACATAATAGGAATTATCAAACTTCAAAGGATCTTTGGTGAAAGGACCATCAAAACCCGATATATCCTTGTGTGCTCGACCCTGTAAGTTAAGTAAATTTAGAATAAGCTAAGGTGTGTACAAAATAAACAATCATAACTAGGAATGGTCATTTTTCCATGAAAAAAAAATTGAAATACAGATTGCCAAAGGATTATAGAAAAATTAGCTTACCAAAGTGTGAGCTCCAGATAGAACAACAATATCCCTATTGTTCAAGCCCATTCGATAAAATATATCCTTCAGATGCTGGGAACCTACAACAATGTATAGAATCCATACATTCATCAACTATGCTTTTTTTATACTTCTGCTACAATTAATCTAATACATAAACGTTACATGTAAAAGGTAGGAACAAAGGACAAACAATTAAAACACATAAAATCTCATACGCGAATCTAGCTAGGTTATGGCCTTCAATGCTTGAATAAAAAACATAATCTCATGTACTTTTCCTGCATTAGATCCCTTTGTAGAACAATATCATTTTTGTGCGCATGACAACTATAAGCCAGGTAACACTATTGATAATGTTATGTCAGTATGTATAACTAGTACTAGCACAAGACCGGGTGATGATCAAAGTGTTTTTATGTACCTCCATTAGGATTTGGAAGGTCTCCGCGGTCTTGTTGATCCAGGGCATCCTATTTCAAAGAACAACAATATAGTACTATTATGGTAATCAAATAAAACTAAGAAGGATTTTGAGATAACCTCTTTCAAATTTGATGTTGTATGTGTCACTTACCGGTCGACCAGGGATAAAAGGAATAACAGGACCTCCGGTAACTTCAACAGCAACAACACCAGCAAGCTGAAACAACAGCAGTAGATAGTTAGACACACGCATGCTGACAAGTTAGACCGTATGCACTAAGTATATACACTACTTCGTATTCTATCCAAAAAGCAGTAATGTAAAGATAGCTTAATAATAACTCATTATCTAACTTTTCTTTTTCTCTCAATTAGAAATTTACCTGGTAAAGGTCAGCATATGTGACTTTGGGGTGTTTGACCTTCACTTGTTCTGAGACGGCAGATAACCGAAAGTTGTGTTAAAATATAACTTAAATAACACCATAACTCACACTTTGACACGCTCACATGTCTCGTGAGACAAATTAAAATTTGTTTGGCTCACCACAAAAATCAATAGCATTCTTAATACCGCCGTTGGGAGGGTTGTTCAACTCATTCCTAATTGAGCCATTTACACCTCCAGTTTTTGTTTTGGCATCATAAGTACCTGCATCATGAAATCTACGACACCAAAACCAAGTAATTAAGGGGTCTTATGTACTAGTATGCTTGCTTTATTTATAAGTTGATGAATTGAATTTGAGAATTTTTTTTTAATTATGTAACACTTAACATATTCCAATAAGGACAAAGAGATTAGCCATCTACGGATCATGACATAGCTTTCTAAACTAACTTGAATTCTTGCATGGAGAACCCAACAAAATAAAGGAATTGATTGAGAATTTCAGAATTGTTGAAAGAGTATAGGGTCACAAGGGATGATAGATTTAAGTAACATCCAAAATTTAGTACGGAGTAATTTCTAGTACGGTCATAAAACATACCATAATCACAACAATCTAACGTATTACCAAAATTTTGTACCACCACATTTCTATATTGTATTATGTATCTGTAATACATGATTTAAATTTACTATTATATATGTTAATCATTGGATCTACCGAGTTCTTTGTATAATATAACATCATCATGCGGACTTTATTATGATAACATTATTAATTAGAAGATCCTCAACCAAAATGAGTATTTTAAAACCAGATCACAACAAAAAAATTTTAGGAGGTGAAAGGGATGAATTAAAGAAGAAAGATTACGCTAATCGAAGCACAATGGGAGCAAATTTCTTGTTATTTTGAAGAAGATGATGAAGGTCTCTACGAGCCCCTTCGATTTGTTTCAAGTATTCGGCATCCACAATGTGCCCTGCTCGCGATTGTTGTTGATGTGCCATGGTACAACACAATTTTTATTGAAACGCTTAATAATGAAATAAAATTTAGTAGATTACTAGAAAATGTGTACAAATTTTGATTTGTGAAGGTTTATATTTATACAAAGTTTGTGTCATGAAAACAAAAAAGCGCAAATTATAAAGCTTATTCCAAGTTTTCACGTGCCAAAATATGTATGAGTAATTTATACAAATATTGTATAAAATTATATTAAAATTGTACGATATGTTTCATTTTCATGGGTGGCTTCTGATTTTTTTAATTAGAAGAATCCAGTTCTGTGAAAAAAAAAAATAGAATGAAGTTGATCCATCTTCATCTGTATTTGCGTACATAATCTAGAAAGAATAATATTCAATAATTTATTAAGTTATCCAAAAATAATACAATAATGGAAGTACCACATGATTGGAGCAATTTCCGATCAACTTGACCACTTGTCTTAATCAGCTTCTAACCCGGCTAGCATTGTTGTAATATTGGTGATTCATAACATGCAAAAAGTAACAATCTAACTAAGAAAAAATGAAAGGAAAATGATAAGCATAGCCCTAAAGACTATGTATAAGAAGTTAAAAAAGGAAATATTGAGAATAAGTTAACATTAATTACACCTATTTACGCGTAAATTTGTTATGAATTCCCAACTTAATTTCATTTTAGAAAGTATATTTAATGCTTATATATAGCCCTAAATGCTACATATATCATTAAAAGGATAGGAAAAAAAAATCTAAACTTATTGAGTAAAATTTTCACCACTCATTTATGTTATAAGATAGCATTTGAAATTAATGAAATGGTGAAACTAATAACCAATTTATGATATTTTTTCACTTATCAATAAGTATTAATATAAAACATTTTTTATTGTATGTATAGGTTGTTTTTGGTGAAAAACTGAAAGCTTAAAGCTAAAATTGATTGTGTTAGCTGATATTGACATGATTGTATTAATTAATTTGACTAATTAATTGTATAAGCTGATTATATAAAAGTGTTTAAGTATGTAAATAGACCAATAAGGACATGCATTAACATATTTTATCGTGGTAGGATTTTGGGTTAAATGAGGTTATAGTTGTCATTTCACTTCAAAGTTGTTGAATAAGCTAATGAAAAAGCTCCTCCAAATAGCTTATTAAAAATGAGCTTATTTGGTGGAATAAGCTTTTAAATTAGCTTAAATTACCACCAAACACCCTAAATAACATGACGATAATCTTATTGGACTATTTAAAATGATGCTGGCAAAATAGCAATTGATTGTATTGTAGAGTTTAAAAAACGGTTTTCAATTATTGATTGTAGTCTATTTAACACAATAAATTTTTCTAATCTAATTGCACAATAAATAAACAAGATTATGATTAGGCTACCAATCTCAAAGGATATTTCAAAATCCATAATATTAGAGAATTAAATTCTGTCAAACATACAAATTTAGTCTTGTCAAGGAACCGAATTCAATTTTGTCAAAAAAACTTTGCAAAAGATCAAAGAAAAAGGGAGTTTCGATTCTTCACACTCGATATACAGTATACACCCCAATATGAAAGAATTGGGACCAAAATTCATTAGTATAATGCTTCTTGATCATACCCAATATGGAAGTATCAAATACCATTCGACATTACACTAACTTTAGAGTATGGCCAATTGAAGGTCAATAGATCGAGTTTCCACTCAATCTTTCTTTAAATTAATTAATTAGCTATATTAAGATTCTAAAACACTCACAATTAAGGCATATTTATGTATACATAAGTTAGGACTACAATATTTGTAGGGGATTTAGTGTTTAAACAAGGGTCACAAAGAAAAGCAAATAAAATTAACGGAAAATTCTTCGAGGCGTGAAAGGGATCACTTTCCCAAAAGTATAATTCCGACCATATAGTACAACCGGGTATCACGGAAATTTACTTTGGAGATACAACGAAGGTCAATTGCAATCACAAGTAGGATGATTACAATACAATGTAAATAAGCTTTTGTGATTTGTGATGATGAACAATAACTTGCAAAAGGTTTCAAGAGAATGAGAATAAACTGATTTCTTGAAGTATGTTTCGTCAATATGAACTATCACATTTATATCAAGAGCAATAAACCAAGCAAACTGAAGAATAACCGTCAAATTGCCCAGGCTTACACCCGCGCCCTGCCGGGCGAGAGAAACCAAGCAACCCAGAAAAATTTGAATGCTCTCGCGCCCTATCGGGCAACGATGGCCCTGCTTGGCGGTGACATCGTTTAATATTTCTTCGCTCTCGCGCCCTATCAGGCGGTGGCTCGACCTGCCGGGCGCGCCACCGGGCGGACTGCAGGGCGGAGGAACACTTCTCTAAACCGAGATACAAATTACTCTTTTACTTGTTTAATTGAATTTCAACACCTTAACCTAAGAAATTCAATCAAACACATGAATATTTTTCACCAATTCTCTAAATAATTCAACAATCCTCCCCCATTTAGAGTATTAAACTTGACTCATTGCAAAACATCATCATCCCAAAAACAATCTCATGCATAAATGAAAGTGTACAAAGACTTGAACTCACATTTAGTGCAACATACAATTCAAGTATCCGTATCCATTCGGTATCGTAAAACGTTTGAACCAAAAGCAACACATATTGGATACTTGAAGATATTACACACACAAGATTAATTACTTAAATACATATTTACTTGACACTTAAGCCATGTGTCCATATCTATTCATAAGTTCATCAAAGCTATGCCCCTAATAGCTTCTTAAAGCGGCTAAACCTCGTACTTATATAGGTAAAATCCCAAACATGCTCCTGTGACAAAGAACAATATCAGGAATTCTATCAAGTTAAACAACCTCTTATACATCACAGTAAATTCGGAACTTTACCTTGGATGAATAAACAAGTTCCCAATTAGAAAATGAGAAAGTTAATCTTATTGAACTTAAGACCCAACGTCTTATTGGGTGTTAAGTTAAGACTCCCTCATTTGTAATTATTTAGGGCTCCAATCCTAAACCGATTGACATCCTATTGTTAACAACTCTTGCCAATGCCTTTATGAAACAATCGGCGAGATTAAGATTTGTTCGAACATAACCAATGGTGATCACACTATCCTTGATAAGCCCTTGGATGAACTATGCCGTACTCCAATGTGCCTTGACTTACCATTATAAACTTGGCTATAAGCCCTTGTCGAGGTAGCATTGTTATCACAATGTATCACTATTGGTGATATCGGTTTTGGGAACATAGGAATCTCAAACACGAGATCCTTCAACCATTCGGCTTCTTTACCAGCCGAATGCAAAGCAATGAACTCCGATGTCATTGTGGAGTCCGCAATGCAAGTTTGCTTCTTAGAAGCTGATAAGTCGTGTTTTGTGCATATTTGTTAGCTTATTTTTGGCTGGTTTTATTAGTTTAGTCGAGTGTTTTAGTCCAAGATCTAGTTTCACCACAATTATTATTGATGCATGAATTAAGTCTTTAAATTCTTTAACAACCTTAACAATTGAATTGCTAAATTGATTGTGATTATGCCAATACTAGGTTAGACGTAACTATAGTATTGCGATTATTCCATTGTTTTTATCACAGCGAGAGTTGGGTATAAACGGATTTGAGTAAATTAATTTAGGGTTTGATTCATAACACGAGAGTAGTTATGTTTGATAATTGGGAAGTGAGAGTAACGTGTTTAATGTCTTTAATATGCATGATACCATGAGAATAGGATTGATTGTATGTTAGGGAAGCCATTGATACTCGAGAGAGATCCTTGGTAATTATTAGGGTTTACTTTTCCCCGTTCGATTGAAATCGTATGTTAAGGGTAGAATTACAATTGCATCGATAATAATTGTGGTGAAACTAGATCTTGGATGTTTTAAGTACTTGATTTAATCATCTTATTTAGCTTATTTTCGAATTCTTCTCATACTTAGTTCCGTAGATAATTGATTATAATTGATTCTTGCTTAGTAGAAATTCGAGTCTATTTAATTATTTTTGAACCTTAGTCTCTTGGGATCCGACCCTTACTTGCTAGTTTACATTAGTATTGGTCTGTTAGGTTATTTTTGATAGGTACGCGACACGTCTACCAAATTTTGGGGCCGTTGCCGGGGACTAACGGTTTCATTAGATTATTTGTGATTCGTTTTTGCTAGGCTCATTTCGTTGCTTCGGCTATTTTCTCTGGTGTTTTTGATCCTCTTTCTCTAGTTTTCTTGTTGCATGCCTACACGAAGCTCAGGTTCGGAAGATCTAGTACCTTTTGATTCTGAAATCGAAGCGACCGCAAGAAGACGAGCAGGTAGAAGAAGAAGGAGAAACCAAGCCAACAGAAACATGGAAGATGCCACGAAGTCTCTTTTGGAGTACGGTATCCCTGATACGACAACCGGACTCCTCTCTAGCATTGTCAGACCACCTGTCATTGCTCAGCACTTTGAATTGAAACCACAGTTCATTCAATTCATCTCTAACGATTCATTTGCAGGCACACCACATGATTGCCCAGTAAGTCATATTGATAGTTTCTTGGAGAAATGTGATACTATGAAATTGAATGGTGTTACAGATGATGCTATCATACTTCGCCTTTTCCCTTTTTCATTACGGGATAGGGCGAAAGAGTGGTTGAGAGATGAAGGCACTGGCTCGTTTGATACATGGGACAAGCTAGTGAAGGCCTTCTTAGTGAAGTTTTTGGGACATGAGAAGACTGCCAGGTTGAGGAACGAGCTATCCACCTTCCGACAGTCAGATGACGAGTCTCTCTATGAGGCTTGGAGAAGGTTCAAGAGGTTACAGAGACAATGCCCTCATCACGGTATCCCAGAGTGGCTATCGATTCAAACCTTCTATAATGGCCTAACACATGAGTTCCGAATCTACATTGATGCTGCATCAGGGGGTTCTCTCTTGACAAAGAACCCAACTGAGGCAAGGGAGCTGATTGAGAAGATGGCGGCCAATGATAATTATCATCCAGGAGGTCGTTAGAATGTGAAAAAGGGAGGTAAGCTTGATGTAGATGCTTTGACTATGTTATCTAGTTCTGTGCAGGCACTAACAAGCATGTTTGATAAGCTCCAAGCTGGAACTTCTACTAGCCCCAAGGAGGTTTGTCAAATGTGTAATGTGCAGGGCCATATCGCACCAAATTGCCCGCAGAATTCGAGTGAGATGTCCATCGAACAAGCCAATGCTTTCTACTCCTCAAATCCCAAAAATCCTTATGATCCCTACTCCAACACCTATAATGAAGGATGGAAACACTATCCTAACCTCTCATACAAAAACACCCCAGCACAACACAATCCACCACCTCAACCCAACAACTACAACCAAACACCACCTGGTTTCCAACAAAGACCACCCATGAACCAACAACCAGTGCAACCACAACCCCAAAAATCTAGCCTTGAAGTGATGATAGAGAGATTTATTACCACAACCAATAGTGCTATCCAACAACAAGGTAACTCCATCCAACAGTTGCAAGCCCATAATAAGCTCATGGAAAGCCAAATAAGCCAACTTTCACAACAGGTGAGTCGCCTATCAACTCTTCAAGATCAAGCAAAGGTTCAAAAAGAACAATGCAATGCTGTTTTCTTGAGAAGAGATGAAGCCTCTCCGAGGCAAATTGTTGAGAAGGTGTGCAGTGAGGAGTCTAGAAAAGACGAAAAGGGCAAAGATGTTCAAAGCTCCAAATATGTGGCTCCACCGGCTTATGAGGAACCGATGCCTTTCCCGCAACGGTTGTCAAAAGCCGTGCTTGATAGACATTTTGGCAAATATTGTGAAGCCCTCAAGAAGGTACACGCTTCTACTCCCTTTTCTGATCTTTTAGTTCAAATGCCTCAATTTGCAAATTTTGTAAAGAATATTAAAGATCAACATGAGGATAAGGAAGTAGCACATAAGAAGGGCCCTACTCTCTTATATGATAACCTACCACCTAAGCTGCATGATCCTGGTAGTTTCACTATTCCCTGCACGATAAACGAGAAATTTTTCGATAGGGTTTTGTGCGATTTAGGTGCTAGTGTTAACTTAATGCCCTATTCATTATATGAGAGTTTAGGCTTGCAAGGACTTAGACCTTCCCCTATTTCTCTTCAATTGGCTGATAGGACCTCTAGACTCCCTAAGGGTGTGGTTGAAGATGTATTAGTTACGGTGGGTGGACTTGTTTTTCCTGTTGATTTTGTTGTCTTGGATATGAAGGAAGATCATAAGATCCCGATCATACTTGGTCGACCATTCCTTGCCACGGGTCAAGCCCTAATAGATGTTCCCGAAGGACAAGTCGTCATTAGGGCCCAGGATAAACAAGTCATATTCAAGCTCTTTGATGAACATAATTCTATTTTTGATGGTGGTACTTGCTTAAGAATCGATGCTACTAACCCTTTGTTTGATAAGTATGTATTTGATAGAAATTTCGTGCGAAGCAAGGACAAAATTCCACCCAATGATGTTTTTGGCCACATGAAGGTGAGTTCGGATATAAGGCAGGTAAACAATAAAATGAAGGAGTCACTCGGAGGCAATCATTCCCATGGGCAACATTGCGGAGTTCCCCCTTCGTGTGGTGATCCCGGTTGAGCCAATGAGTATCACTACGGTCAAGCTAAAGACCTTATAATCAAGCGCTAAATGGGAGGCAACCCATTCTCGATCCTTTACTTTTCTTTTATTCCTATTTTTATTTTTATTTTTGATTCTTGATGTGGTTATTAGTGTTCTAATTTTTATTATTTTCTCTTTCTAAATAGGTGAAAAGAGCAAATTCTATGAAGATGGAGTCCACGAAATAAGGCACGTCCGTGCTTCCAACCTAGCTCCGACCCGAGGTATGGTTTTCCCCCTCCCGATCAGTAGATATGTTTCCCTCTCCCCTTGCCCATTTTACACTGATTTTTGCATACATTGAGGACAATGTATGGTTTAGCTTGGGGGATGATTCACTTTTCACCATGTATATATTAGTTTTCTTTTAGTTTTTGGTTAGTTTATTTCTTTTTAGTGTTGTTGATATGCCATTACATGCCTATGCTTCTATGATAATGATCATATATGTGTGCTTTGCGAAAAGAATTTTCAAAAACCCATTTACCAATTTGCTTTTAATTGAGTTGGTTTGTGGCCAGGATGGTCTCCCCGCTCTACTTATGTGAATAGTTTGTGTACCCGGTGAGAGTTTTGAGCTATATTTGACTGATTTCACTCTATCTCAGTCATGTTTCTTCTTGTGTGATTAGTTTGTCCTTCATATAATTGAATTCTTGGTCCTGCTCTTTGACTGTTTGAGACTTGAATGATGCATGTTTCGAAAAAATGATTGAAATTTCCTTGTAGAGAATAGAGCCTCCACATTTTAGGCCTACATAATTTTTTTTTATTTTTTATTTTTCATTCACCCGTAGGTTGAGCCAATTTGAGCCGTGTTTTAACCCCTTCTTGATACCCTACATTTAAAGCCATAGAGCTATTTTCCTAGGTTTATTTTGAAGGTGTTTTACACTTGTTAAAGCCCTATGAGTGATGTATAAAAAAAAAGAGAAAGAAGGGAATTGATCTATTAGAAGGAAGGAAGGAAGAAGAGAAAAGAAAAGAAAAAAAAAAGTTTTAAAAGTCTTCCTAATCCTAATTTGCTATGAATCCCTTTCTTTCTGCAAAAGAAAAAAAAAATGAATGAAAAAAAAAGAGAAAGAGAAAAGAAACGAAAAAAAAGAAGGAAAAAGAAAGAAATAAAAGGGCTATGTTTATATTGTATGAAGTTGGAGGAAATAAGGTTGGCTTGAACCCGACATTTGAATGTGTAGTGGGATTAGGATTTGTTATTTTTTGAGCACCACATTCCCAAATTACATCGTCCAACCCTTATTTACCGAGCTTACCCTTTATGGATTTCATGATTTTCGTAATTGCATCAATCATTAGAAGTGGAGAAAGTCACATTGCAAGCCTAAAGAGGCCGATTCATGTGAAGTTGATGTGCATTCTATGCTTAGGTTGAGTGATATCATATTTCACCTCGTAAACACATGAGCGTTTATTGTTTTTATTTTTAACAACTAAAGTGAGAGCTATTTATGTTTGTGTGAGTTGGTATGGGGAGATGTGTGGTAAGATGTTTGTCGATTCCAAGTTTAAGAGGTTTATGGTGGTTTTATGCATATTGACTCTTATTTTTGTTTTCCTCGTGATTTCAAATTGATGGCACATTATGATGGTTTGAGAAGTTGTCTTTCTCCTCCCTTATGATTCATGGTTAAATGCTTGAGGACAAGCATTAGTCTAGCTTGGGGGAGTTTGATAAGTCGTGTGTTTGTGCATATTTGTTAGCTTATTTTTGGTTGGTTTTATTAGCTTAGTCGAGTGTTTTAGTCCATTTTGGTGTAATTTGGTTTAGTTTCGATGATTCGATGCTTTTATGGGTAGTTTCGTTGTTTTTGATGTATCTCAGGATTAACGGAGCTAATTTGGAGATTTTACGAAGTCACGAAGCTATGCCGAGGCCCACGAATATCAAATCATGTGTTCGAGACGAACTTGAGTTAAAATGAAGCAAAACGTTGATGAAATACTTGACAAATATGACACCTGTTCACTATTATGCTCATAACTTTTGATATACAAATGATAATGGAGTGATTCAAATTGCATTGGAAAGTAGACTTGAAGACCTTTCCAAAGATATATTACACGCTTCAAACAAAGCTCCGGATATGAAGGTATGACTGATTTAAGATGAGTGATACGCGCAGCAGAGCAGGCACGTCCGTGCCCAGCAGTCAGGCACGTCCGTGCCTGGAAGACAGACTCTGCAGCGTTTTTATTTCTAGAGAGGCACGTCCGTGCCTCTTGGGATTCTTGTGCGCCAAGCCTTTTGCCGATTTTCTTATCTTTTCTAGGCTTATATTTACACTAAGTGGTTTTTTTATTAATTCATTAAGTTTATATTATTTTTCAATTCCTATTATTAAGAACTAGTTCTCCATTATTATTTTCTAAGTTTTTGTAATTCAAGATTCAAGCTTTCTACTTTCAATTTTATTCAAGATTTGGTATTTATTTTTCATCCTTTGTTATTTAATTATGTTTTCATTATTTATTATTGTTTTTGTTCCTTTAATCATGTGTGAGTAGATTCTTTAATTCAAGATCTAGTGTAGCCCTATTATTATTGATGCATGAATTAAGTCTTTAAATTCTTTAACAACCTTAACAATTGAATTGCTAAATTGATTGTGATTATGCCAATACTAGGTTAGACGTAACTATAGTATTGCGATTATTCCATTGTTTTTATCACAGCGAGAGTTGGGTATAAACGGATTTGAGTAAATTAATTTAGGGTTTGATTCATAACACGAGAGTAGTTATGTTTGATAATTGGGAAGTGAGAGTAACGTGTTTAATGTCTTTAATATGCATGATACCATGAGAATAGGATTGATTGTATGTTAGGGAAGCCATTGATACTCGAGAGAGATCCTTGGTAATTATTAGGGTTTACTTTTCTCCGTTCAATTGAAATCGTATGTTAAGGGTAGAATTACAATTGCATCGATAATAATTGTGGTGAAACTAGATCTTGGATGTTTTAAGTACTTGATTTAATCATCTTATTTAGCTTATTTTCGAATTCTTCTCATACTTAGTTCCGTAGATAAATGATTATAATTGATTCTTGCTTAGTAGAAATTCGAGTCTATTTAATTATTTTTGAACCTTAGTCTCTTGGGATCCGACCCTTACTTGCCAGTTTACATTAGTATTGGTCTGTCAGGTTATTTTTGATAGGTACGCGACACGCCTACCAGAAGCCCATGAAATGGCACCTCCCTCATATAGGAAAACCCATCCACTTGTGGAGAATGATCTTTGTTAGAGATCCAACTTGCATCCGAATACCCTTCTACAACCGAAGGATATCCACTATAGGACAAACCAAAGTCCTTGGTTTTCTTCAAGTACTTCAACAAGCATCGAACCGCTTGCCAATATAGCATACTAGGCTTACTAATGTACCTACTTAGTTGACCAACTGCATAAGCAATATCCAGTCTAGTACTTGTCATGGCATACATCAAACAATCTATTACTTTAGCATATTCAAGTTGTGAAACTGCATTACCTTCGTTAGGTATCAACTTTATGCTAGGATCCATAGGTGTTGAATAAAGAGAAGTGGAGTCATCACTCACATTACATTTCTTGAGCACTTTCTCAATGTGATGATATTGTGACAAGATCAACTTTCCTTTTTCCTTCTTTATCCGTATGCTCAAGATGACATCCGCTTCTCCCATGCCTTTCATGGAAAACTTTGAACTAAGGAAAGACTTTGTCATTTCAACTGGTGACAAATCCGTTCCAAAGATCAACATGTCATCTACATATAGACAAATTATGACACCTTGACCGTTGTCATTAAATTTGCTATATATACACTTGTTTGAATTGTTCAAAACCATTAGACAATACAACCTCATCAAACTTTTGATGCCATTGCTTAGGTGCTTGTTTTAGCCCATACAAACTTTTCCTTCTTGACCTTCCACAACAAACCCTTTTGGTTGTCGCATGTAAATTTCTTCCTCTAGATCTCCATTCAAGAACGTTGTCTTGACATCCATTTGATGAATCACAAGCTTGTAGATAGCCGCAAATGCTATCAACAACTTTATAATTGAGATTCTAGCAACATATGCATATGTATCGAAATAGTCGATACCAGGCTTTGGTGTATAACCTTGTGCTACTAACTGGGCTTTGAACTTTTCAACCGTTCTATCAATCCTCAATTTCCTTTTGAAGATCCATTTGCATCCTATTGGTTTACATTTTGGTGGTAAATTAACTAACACCCAAGTATTGTTTCCCATGATGGATTCCATCTCATCGTTAATTGCTTCCTTCCAAAATGGAGCATCACGAGACCTTATAGCCTCATCATAGGTCAAAGGATCATCTTCCACATTAAAAATGTATGGAAAATTGTGTCAAAACAGAATTCCTTGATCCTTCTACTAAGTACACATGAAAGTCCGCGCCAAATAACTTTTCTTTCCTTGCCCTCTTACTTCTCCTAGGTTGAGATGATGATATTGATGCCTCCTCTAAATGAGTTTGGTCATAAATTTCTTGATCAAATTCAATTTGGTCAAAACTTTGAGCATCGGTATTTAGAGTTATATCCTTTGGTCTAGGAATTGATGAATATCTATTTTCATCAAACAATGCATCTTTAGACTCAATGGTGGTATGAACCGACCAATAGTCATTTTGTTCAATGACATAGAACCTATAGGATTTACTATGTTCCGCATATCCTATAAAGATGCATTCCACTCCTCTTTCACCTAACTTTTTACGTTTAGGTTTCGACACTTTTACAATTGCCCTACAACCCTAAACTTTGAGATGACTCAAGTTTGTTTTCCTTTTATACCAAAGCTCATATGGAGTTACCTCATTCCTTTTCATTGGAACTCGGTTTAAAATGTAACAAGCGGCTAATACCGCTTTCCTCCAAAATCCATCACTCAAACTCAAATAGGACAACATGGAATTAACCATTTCTTCAAGAGTACTAT